GTGGGTATGGGAAAAGACTCTAGGGCCAAAATGCGATCGGGTAATGGTGAAATACCTGTGGCGTCAATGTTGTGGCCAAGAAAATGAAGGCTAGTAACACCGAATAAGCATTTGTCAATATTCAAACGTATGTTGTAAGTGGAAAAACGTTCAAACACTGCTCTGAGATGAGCCGAATGTTCAGCTGGGGAGGTGCTAGCAACTAAAACATCGTCAACGTAGGCATACACAAACGGTAAGCCACGTACAACCTCGTCCATGAAACGTTGAAACGTTTGGGCTGCATTTCGAAGACCAAAGGGCATACGCGTGAATTCGGAAAGGCCAATCGGTGTTGTGATGGCTGCTTTGGGAATGTCATCCGGGGCTACGGGTATGTGGTAGTAGATCGAGTTTGAAGAAGATGTTTGTCGCAATGCAAGGTCAAGAATGAGGGAACGTTTGCCGTATGTATCGATGCGGGTACCGTTAGCGTCTTGTAGCGAGAAAGAAGCAGAATCGGGAAGTGGATTCATATGTGGTAGCACACTAACTTCAGCTCCCGTATCTACGAGGAAACGTAGACCACTTGAATGATCGGTGATGTGGAACAGGCGACTAGTGCGAGGAGGGCCACAGACAGTCGTCGCCGTTACTGACTGGCCGGGGTGTGTAAAGAGGTGTTGGAACACACCTTGAAGGAACAAGGTGTTTGACACTTGCGTGCTTTTGGGCCGTAAGATTGGTGATACCAGCACCAAGAGGGACGGGCACGAGATAACGATCTGAATCGTAAACGTGGTCGATGTCTGTTGATCTCCAACCGTTGTAGGCGATCGGTCAAAGCATCAAACTTGGCTTGTAGGTGCGATATAGAAGCAAGAACTGTGGTGTGTGCAGGGCGGAAGACGGGGTTTACGGGGTTACGGGGGTATGTTTCATGCATCTTATCCGCTATTTGGGCTAGCTGCTCCAAGCTGTGGTCATCAACGAAAGCGCTGATGACGTGGCACATGGAGGGTGGGAGTTTGTCGAGCCATAGTTGATCCATAATCTCCTCTGCTATCTTTCGACCGCAGAGGAGACTGTGCATGTGGCGGAGCATTTTTGATGGCGATCTCTCCCCAAGTTCGGCAGTGGTGAATAGATCCCGTAGCATTTTGTTTTCTGATTTCACTGTCCTACTTATGACGGCTGCTCAAAGGGCGTCATACGGATTTCCCTTAGGAATACCTTCCAACAGATCTTCAACTTCTGTTGCTACATCACAAGGAAGATGCTGGGCAACATAGGAAAACGGGGTGACTTGGGAAGTTATGCGTCGGGTAGCAAAAACGGCCTCCACCTGGTGAAACCATACCCTGGAGTTGCGTGGATTATAGTCTGGCAAACGATTGCTAGGTGCATTCTCGACTAAATCCGCTGAATCAAAGTGTGCCTCCATAATTACCGGGCAAAAGAAACAAAATTACAACGACTTGAAAGAAAAAGCTTTCAAAAAATATCTAGAAATACTCGGGCTCAGCAATTATGTAGTGGTCTGGCTACCCAATAAGTTAGTTTACCAGGGGTGTTTGGCAAAGAAATAAAAATTATTACGCTAGGTTGGGTATACAAAAATAGATAGATCAGATGGAACAGACGCACTAACAATTGTTCCCTTTAAAATAGTTCGCCGTTGGCCCGGGTCAGCGAATAAACAATAATCCAATTATGTTGGTCCAGAGGTCTTCTTCTGAACAGTTCCCACATATAATAGATTCCGAAGATGTCTGAAATGTTTTGGTACCAGAGTTAGTACGTGAGACTCGCGAATGACCGCTGCAATCGCGAGCGAAATCAGAAGATAGAGTCGAAGCACGTGACCACGCTTGTATTGTGAGGAATTGTACCAGTGCGCGTTTTTGTAGTTTTTCGTATTCAAACAAAAAACGATTATGCAATTGATGAAATACGTAGTGTTATAATGGAAGTAAAATAAAGGTACAGGTCGTTGACGTAGATCAG